TTATTCCCCTTCCTGTACAAAACCACTTTATAACTGCATCCATACTCAGGGCTGGGGAGGGGTGCACTGATTACTGTACAGTTAAAAGTGGTACGACTGTATAGTGTAGACAGAGCCTGAGGCTTCAGGTAAGCACATACAGCACATGCTTAAGTCCCATAAATGTCAGTGGGGCTTAAGCATGTGTGGTTAAGTGCTGTCCTTAGTGGAGCAACAAGACAATCCAGCCTTAAGCAGATTTCATTGTAGAAAGCGGATTCCATTCCTAGGCACCACAAGGTCTCTGTCTGCTCTTGTAGCTGTCTCATTTATATTTTATAACCCTCTTTGCCATTACCTTAAGACCTACAGTACAAAAGTCACTCTGTCAGATAAGAGAGATATATTGCCAGGAAGTAGTGTAGTTGACTTAGACTTTATCTTCGTTCTTTAGTAATATGTGTATTTTTAGCGTGGGTCATTTCTTGCAAACCCTACAGCATCTTGAAGGAAGTCCATGTTTGTGGCTTGATCTTTTATTTTTAAAGTTTGGTAGCTCAAGGGAGGATGTTAGGCTCAGGATTTAGGAGTGAACTGCGGGAGGAGATGAGTAAAGTTATCTGAGTATGCAAGAGTAGAGGGTGGAATGGGACTGCATGCTTATAAAACGTCACCTGCAGGCCACTTTCTGGCTTGGCGTGGATGGGGTAATAAAAAGGGAGTAATTCACACTTTCAAATCTCACCTTGATATAGAAGCGCATCCCCATGCAGTTGTGCCTTAACGTGGGAAGGACAGCTGGGAGGGCAGGTTTAAAGAAGGAAAAATAGGCTGCTGAAACTAAAATGGCTAAACAGCTGAAAAGCAGAGCTGGTTGCAAAATGGTAACAGTTTTGTGAGAGTGAGTTTGGTTTTTTTTGACGATTTTTAAAAATTCCGTATCTTCCAAAAATTTCAGCCAGCTTCAATGGAAAGCACACACAGTACCTGCGGTAAGCGGTAGTTAGAGGTGAGTCAGCTGGCACGGGCTACCTTTGGGTGTCTTAATTGCAGTGTAGACTTACCCTATGACATCCAAAATAAGATGGAGAGGGAAGTGGGAGTAAAAATAGCTGTAGTATTTCATCAGCTGTTGGGGATGTGTCTACCAATGGTATGTGGGTTCCTAACGGAGAACAATTATTAGTTATTATCTTCCCATCTCACTGCCTTACCGTCTTGCTCCTTCATTTAATTGCTTTTTGCTAAGCTTCTTAGACAATATTGGAACTTAACGACAGCCATAGTTTGACAGCGTTTGTTTAGAAGGTTAGCTACAGTATGTACAACAGTTCAATTCATATTCATTGTTCCTGTTCGAATGATCATTTAACTTTTTGCAGTCATTCGCTCTGAGGGGAATTCAGCTGAGCAGCTGCAGTTCTAGGCGATATGGTCCGTTAACCAGCCAAAAGGCCCTGGCTTGTGCAGTAGTTGACCTGATTGCTGAAATACTGTAAAAATGACATTGCTGCAGGGGAACTCGGTGGGAGGTCTCATTCCCCAGGTTGAACAAATAATTCAGATTCCAGTAACGCACACAAAAAAACAACATCCAACAACAACCACAAAGACGGCGGCTAAGGTTATGAAAGATTAAAAAGGGAAAACAAAGCGAGGTTAGAGGACTGTAAAGGGGCTGATTTCAAGATGAATTAAAACACCCTTGAAAATGAGAGCTATAAAACTTTCACTTCATCCTGAGGGGAAGAATTAACCCTTTTAGTCAATGAGTAAATAAAATAAAAGCCCAAGGAGAGATGCTGTAAAACTCTCAAACCCACTGGGAGATGCTGAGGAATGAGGTGAAAAATTCCTTGAGTCACCCCAGTGATAAAACATGCTGGGGTCTCCTTTGGTAATGCTTCCACATTCCCAGGCTTCTCCGGTTCAGGGCCTGGAATGTCAGTCACTTGGGGCCGGCAAAGGGAGGGAGAGGTGGGAATGGGATGCCTGATCCGGGAATGGGATGCCTGATCCGGGAGCAGGCGATACACAAGTTGCTCGGGGCCTCACAGGATGTGGATGTTTAAATGCAGCAATTATCAATTAACTCTAGCACCCTGAAGTGCAGGTGAGGTGGTTGTTTCTTTGAGTTGTTTCCCTGAAGGGGGGTTATCTGGTGTCCGGAGGTTGGACATGATATTGCCCAGAAAGGGAATATAAACAACAGTGCACATTGTTAAACTTTTGTTATTATTTATTTGAATTATGGTGACGCCCGGGAGCTCCTGTCATGGATCAGGGCCTCATGGTGCTAGGTGCTGTACAAACAGATGGTTCCCGCCCCAAAGTGCTCACAATAAGTATAAAGCAAGAGACAGATGCAGACAGCAGGAGCCCAAGCACTCAATGAGACAGTACTAGTCATCGTGGTAGGGAGTAGTCTCAGGACACCAACTGCCTCTCTATTGTCAGATTTTTGGTAGGCAGCTTTAGCATTAGCTTTGGCTGCTTTTACTGCAATTTCATATTTCTTGTTGGTACCAGAAACATGCAGCTACCAGGGACTGTGGAAAGATGGGGGTTGGAGGGGAAAAATTTAAAACGCTCATGTAATCTTCCTGTGGGGCCCCCCCCCGCCCTTTTTTTTTTTTTTAAATAGCAAACTAAGGTCATCCTGCCAGCAAAAGACCCTTTTTAACTACAGTTATGTCAGGGACCTAATTAACCACGTGTTTTTAACCACATCTCCAAGCCATGCTGCATCCAGAGCTTTAGCACAGTTCAGTAGATGTTCAGTGTCCCATCTCTGCTACAGGATGGATCAATGTGGTAGCCAGGTCAGGAGACGAACACATAGCCTGATCCAGTGGAATTTCTGGTGTGGCTGGGCCCATAGTACTTTGATTTTGTGTTTTTGCCCCATGCTGACTCTGACAGCACTATCCAATCTCTTGGTATGGTGAATAAGCCAGTGCAGTAAATGTATTGCTATGACTATATCCCACTCTTTGCATCAAGTCAAGGAAGGAAAAAAACAGCAACCCAAAGTGTCAGAACAGGCTGCTCTTGCAGTCTAATTATGACTTACATACAGTATTCCCCATGCTGTCTGTTTATACAGCTAGAGGAACCCCAGGAGCACAAAGCCATGGAAGCATGCCAAGTTTGTTCTCTATGACACAGGATTTTGGTTAGGCAGCTCGGGCCAGTATTCTAGGTCAGGGTTCTCAGCCAGGGGTACGTGTATCCCTAGGGGTACGTGGAGATCTTCCAGGGGTTATATCAACTCATCTAGATATTTGCCTAGCTTTACAACAGGCTACATGAAAAGCACTAGCAAAGTCAGTACAAACTAAAATTTCATACAGACAATGACTTGTTTATACTGCACTATATACTGATATGTAAGAACAATATTTATATTCCAATTGATTTATTTTATAGTTATATGGTAAAAATGAGAAAGGAAGCAATTGTTCAGTAACAGCGTGCTGGGACTCTTTCGTATTTTTGTCTGATTTTTGTAAGCAAGTAGTTTTTAAATGAGGTGAAACTTGAGGGTACACAAGACAAATGAGCTTCCTGAAAGGGAGACTGGAAAGGTTGAGAACCACTCCTCTAGGTTGCCCTTCAGCGGAAGGTGAAGATCCCAAGGCACTTACAGGTTTGAGCGGGAGGTAACCAGTTCTGGTCAATGCCTTGCTCTGTAAAGGATTTTATTTCCAAGGCTCTATGGGGTAGAAGGGGCTCCATTTGCCCAACAGTCTCTGGAAAGCAGCTTGAGATACTGTGAATATAGAAGGTAAAACACCAAATTGCAGACTGTCCTATGTTTCATGGTACATTAGTCTGAGATGCATCTGTTTATTTCTAGGGAACCACTGAAAATGTCTGCTCCTTTCCTTGCCCAGGTTGTTCATCTGCTTCTGTGCCTGATGTGAAGCAGAACAGCAGTAGAGTGGATGGGGGGTGGGGAGGAGGAATAGGGCATCTAAGTTCAAGTGTTCCTGGCAGTTGGTATATATTACTTAATATAAGGGAATTTGCCATATGACCTATTCACAATCTGTGTCACATGGCAAATTGATAAGAGTTGGCATCTTGTGTAAGAATATAACTAGATCATTGTAGGAGCTGTGGCAAGAAAGTCTCCTGCTGAGGAATCCACAAAAATCTGAGTTTTTCCATGAGGACTTGATGATGCTTAGATGGGTCTGATCCTAATTTCCTGTCTGGGATCATATCAAGTCTCATTTCCCTTTTAAAGGGGATCAGCTTTGCTCCTCCCTTAAATCCAGCGGGATGGATAGCTAGATCACACGGTGGAAGTTCAGTTGTATTGGGAAGCCATCTGGAGAGAACTGGTTGGTGAAGTGGCCTGAATGTTATTGTAAACCTGATTACATCCACTGGGTCTTACTTTCAGTCCAGCCTTATCTGGGTCTTCCTTTGTACCCAGTTTTGCACTGCGGTTTCAGTGGGTTCATTGTGTCATGTAGCTTTCTAAATCCTGGGATGCTCAAATGCATCAGTGTCCTGCACATACAGAGATCAAATTACTAATCATAAAAATGCAGGTAACCCTGGGGTAGAACGTGGTATTTCTTTAACAGCGTAACAGTTTAAACCAAGTAGGGGAGGAGAATTTCATGCTGAATTGAAGCTGCAGAAAGAATTTTGGCTGGACAGAATGAAATTGCTCAATTTCAGATTGGCCAGGATAGTGGCGTTAACACCACGGCTTGTTTGTAAGTGTAGATCTTCCATAACCACAGTTGGTGAGAACCTGTTTTGTATCTCAGCTGAGAAATGGCATCTCCTGCAACACAGTTCCCCCTAACACCATGCTTCAATACTCACTTAAAGGAAAGCATGCCTGCTACCAGTTACCAGCACTTATTTCCTACACCTCCTTGGTTTCCCATCCAAGTAGCAACTAGGGAAGCAGCCCATCTGTGCTTAGCTTATGAGATCTGACATGATCACAGGCCCTCAGTAACATGGTCAACTAAACACTAGCCCTTTTTTCTTTTTAGTCCCCCAGGTCCTCAAGAGCTGCACCGAATTCATTGAGAAACACGGCATTGTGGATGGAATATACCGCCTGTCAGGAATTGCGTCAAATATCCAGAAGCTACGGTATGATTGCATTGTATTCGATGAATCCCAGCACATGCTCATTTAAATGCTCTGGTTTCAGAATCCTAGAGTTCAGTGATGACAGGCCGGTGGGTGTCTTGGAGAACAGATGGGGAGGTACCATCACAGCAGCTCCCCAGTGCTCGCGCCTGCTTCATGAACTGCATGCTGTAGCTCTGGAACATTTAAAATCCCACCTCTCTCTTTTTCACAGAGGTTCTGAAGTGAAATGACAAACTTCGTCTACATGACGAAGTGTGACTGGTTTAACTTAAATCACCTTTTTAAACCAGTTTATTAAACTGGTGCAAACACCCTGTGTGTAGGTCCTTACTTCGGTTTAAGGGCAGAATATTTTGATTTAGCTTAAACCTGTTTCCAGTTGACTTAAATTAAACTTTAAAAAAAGGCCACTCTCAGTCTGAAATAAGTGGGTCCTCATGGGTTTGCATTAATTGTAACTATATCAGTTTAAACTCCCACCTTAGTTTATACCAGGGCAGGTTTCCCAGTAGACAAGGCCTTGGCAATGCTTAGACATTGCCTGTCTTTCTAGAATATCATCAGCACATCTCAGATGGGCAAGGAATCCCGCACCCTTGCAGTGGAGGTTGCTAGCTGGAGGAACTCATTCTCCTTTGCCTTTACCTCACTCCATCCCACTTCACTTTTAAATAATCTCTTAAAATTCTCCCTGCTCCTTCCCCAAAGAGCTTATCTACACCTGGAGTTATTCAGCAACAGCTATTCTGAAATAACTATTCCTGAATACCTCCGTGTTCGGAGTGTCTTGTTCTGCATAGGGGATCAGCAGTTCGATTTACATCTCGTGGAGAAGTGAGCTTTAGCAACAGCAATACTCCACTCACCCCTCCCAGTGGCCTGATTGACTACGCTAGTCCCTGGCTAATTGGAAACAGGAATTTCCATGCACATATTCTAGTGGGAAGCAAGGCTTGCCAGCCCTGGCCCTCTAAGTGCAGCTTTTATTTCATAAAAATTTGTGCTTTGGGTTTCTCTCTCTCTTTTCCTCTCTCTGTGAAAACCAAGGGAATGCACACGGGTTTTCTTCATGTGGTTCCTGGCTCTGTTCATTCTTGCTGGGCTCTCTAGCTTGCCTCCAAGGAATTTCTGCACACAGTAGTTTTGATGTACAGCAGCTGTTGATAGTCCCTGATGTTCAATGTTGCTTATAATTTCAGTTTCCAGGCCTTTGAAATTTAAAGGGGGTAAAGTTTTCATTTTGGCCCACGGTGAATTTTACCTAGGCAGCTCTCAGTCACAATCACTGGGGTTAGAGATGTAAATTGCCTGCAACAGTGTTGAGAATAGACACTTTAAAATACAAGGGCGTCTGCCTTGTTACGGGAAATCTGATTTCTGGGCTAGCCAGTCAGATGTAAACGCAACCGATGATGCCTCGTAAGAAACCATCCCATTTTGGAAAAACGTGAGTTTGCAACAGCACAAGCGTGACTCTTGTGGCTTTGGCTCTAAGTCATTTATTTCTTCTGTGAAGCATGCTCTTGTGTTCCTTTGACTCTGATTTGTTTTTGGTTTTTCTCCACTGCCACCCCTCCTCCTACACACACCCCCCCCCCCCGTCTGCCTTTCTCATCTCTAGCCACGAGTTTGACTCGGAGCAGATCCCCGACTTGACTAAAGATGTTTACATTCAAGATATCCACTGTGTGGGCTCCCTCTGTAAGCTCTACTTCCGCGAGCTCCCCAACCCCCTGCTCACATATCAGCTGTACGAGAAGTTCTCAGTAAGTACAAGCTGATATCTTGGTTTCCACGGATTGGGCAACGTCATTGTGGGTTTGATCAACAGGAATGACAGAGCCACCTGTTTTGTAAAGCCTGGTAACGGGGGCCATATAAGTTTCTGAAATGGATCCTGCTGAAGATCTTTCTTTCCCTTTATGTTTAAAAAGGGTTACCTGTGAAAACCAGGCTCTCAAAAGCATTGGCTTAGGGCAGATACCGTTTGGGCATGCTACTCCAACAACTCTGCTGCTGAACCCAAACTAGCAGCCACACACTGCTGTGCTCGTGTCCAGCACTCCAGGCTCACAGTGCCCTTTGCTGTTCCCTTACTGGGATCCGCGTGCAGTTGTGGCAGGGCACAATACCTTGCTCTAGACTTGCAGCACCAGGAGGGAGGCATGTTGGAGGTTTGAATGATTGTGTGAATCCCCATAGCATTTGAGGAGTCCCCAGCAGAAACTACAGATGGCGCAGCCAACAAGGGAGGGCATTGGTGGGAACATCTGTTGCTGGCCTCCTTTGGGATGAATGTCACCCTCGCTGCAGCACAAGGAGTCACTCTGTGCCATCAAGGTGCAACTTACAGCTCCTGGGCCAGCTTCATTGAATTTTGCCTTTAATGTTAGTTGTACGCAGGCCCACCTCCTCAGTACACAGATACCATGGTGAAGGGGGCAGCCTAAAGGCTTCTGTGGGAAGGTAAATCCTACAAATCTAAATGCCAGCAAACTGCACGCCATCCAAACTGTTTCATTTGCATTAGCAAACGCCCAGTGTTAGCACCTTAATTTGTTGTTTTGTTCCAGGATGCTGTGTCTGCTGCTACAGATGAAGAGCGATTGGTTAAAATTCATGATGTCATCCAGCAACTACCCCCACCGCACTACAGGTTAGTGTGCATAGCTTTACCCCACCACACGCTTTCATTCTTTTTTCTGCTCTGACAGTGCACCAGGGCCCTAGCTTTCCATCCTCAGCCTGTCCAGGACGAAGGTCACCAATGCAGACTAAACTGAAATAACATTATGCTAAATATTGGGACTTACGCTGCAGCACGATGGTGTCACTTGTTTGGCCGTTATCAGCCTTCCCTTCATAAGTGATGATTGTATATTATTGTGTGCTTTCTGATTTTCCCCACCTAAGATGGCCGCATTCTTCCTGCATAGTTGAGCACACTTGGAAGGATTGTTGACTGCATAACATTGACTTATATTTTAATTAGATCAGTAACGACACATACTGTACATACATCTTATCTGCCTTACTCTATACAGCATGCCAGGAGGGGATGAATACAGAGCCCATCATAGCCAAGTAGTCCGATTTCATTATGGAGAGGGGAGGTGGGTGGTGAGACTTTGCACAGGATATTTTTAATGAGGACAAAAACCGTAGGTTGAAGTAAGAGGGAGAGGAATGAAGCAAGTAGCAGGAGAATCAGAACTTTGTCAGGGGTTTGCCCAGTAAGGCCAGTTAATCTGGTGACACAGATGAAGATGCAGCATCTGAAATAATGTGAAAAAGGAAGCACTGCAGAGACACTAATCTAAGTTGCACGGAGTGCAGCTGTGGCAGTACGTGTGTTTAACTAGCAGGGTTGACAGGGAAGTCGTTCTGCTGACAGCAGAGAGGAACTGCTCTCCCACATGCATTACAGAAAGGGAGGGAGCATTTGGGAATTTGGCAGTCGGAAAAGCAGCATAGGAATCTGAGCCTCTTTTTTTTGTCCTAGTGAACTGCCATGCCATGCTGCAGCCACCCAACCCCTCTCCTTTCCCCTGGGACTCTCCCCAGCATGGCCTCAAATGCCCTCAGTTATACCGTAGACTATCCCCACACTGGAGTGTGCAGTAACTGGCTGGACCATGCCTGTTTTACAGGGGCAAGTTGTTCTGTCCTGTTGGCAGGGTGGGCAGCATGGCCTTTCTGATGGTTGCTGTGATGTCAGTGTGCCATAAAGCAGTCTCAAGGGTGACCCTAACTACTTACACCATTGTGGGACAACCTTGTACCCCTTTAGGCCTTAATTCACAGGGTTTTTTTCTATTCTGTGCCTCTTTCCGGTTTACCTTCATGTGCCCCAGCCGCCTCCCCTGTCATTCATGGCAGGGGGCTGGGGATACCTCAGCTTGCAGTCTTGCTCCTGTTCTGTGCCCATTTACCCTGGCCAGTTAGGTCTAGGAATGGCCAAAGTGGAAGGTTCAGATTTGATGGCACCAAAATATCGTGGGCAGCTGAGCCAGGAAGCAGCCCCTCTTGTTCTGGGTCTGACTCTGGATCGGAGCCTTAAGGGCAAATTTGGCTAGATTCAACTCTGAGCTTTCCTCTCCTGCCCTCACGCTGAAATTCAGAGTGGGTTGGATGTGAGGTTCTTCCTTTGGTCCATCTCAGTGCCTGGGCTTTTGTATTGCCACCCGATCCCATCTGCACTGGGAGGACATAGGGACAGAGTAGCTCTGTAGTTAAAATCTCCCATGAAAAGCCCCATTTAGGAAATCCCCATCAATCTAAAGCATGTTGTTGTCTTTCCCAGCCCTGCCTCACTTATTTAAGCTGTGGCCGGTGATGCTTCTGTAATCACTCTCTGCCCTAATGTCTGATTCTCATGTATCAGCCTTGTTCTCAGAACAGAGAGGGGGCTAGGAAAGGATAAAATCCCAGGTGAGAGACAAGGAGGGAGTGAGAGCAGTCACATTTCACAGGAGATAACTCTGCTGCAAGTGTTCCCCCTAGTGGTGACTGGCAGAGATGGTGGTTCACTTGAGGTTTCCTCCTAAACATTCCTGAGGCTTGGCTGTGCAGCCTTTTTGGAAGAAAAGAGCATTTTTATTCTTCTAATAATCGTCGGCCAAGCAAGAGTTTCCAGGCTGCTGATGGTGGCGCTTGGCAGCACAGGCTGTGGAAGGGCAGTGCAAGTCTCATGGGGTTTTGTCCATTTCATCGCCAGTAAATGCAGACTTTTTAGCGTAAGGCTTTATCCCTACATGTCTTTGCACAGGGCACGTGTGCAAAGAGAAACCAGGCAGGGGTGCCAGGCAGGGAAGAAATGAAGACAGAACAGGTCTGGGGAGATTTGAGATCCTGCACTCAACTCACCTCTTCAAGTTTATTGGTATTACTAAGTGATTGAGCTGACTTAACTTGGGGGCTGCACATCAGCACTTGTGTTAGTGTGAGAGCAGGTTCTCTTGTACCCTCAGTGCTCCACACCAGCACCATGGAGCACTGACCCCCACTGCTGGCTGTAATAAAAACAGTTAGTTCCTGAAAATTCCCAGGGGTGCTTGCCATCTGTGTTGCTCAAAAGTAATGGTCTCTGAGTGTGTGAATACAAGCTTGGAAAGTTTCACCCTGTATCTTATTTAGATGTATAAATATATATCTGCAGGTGTCCATCCCATAAACTGAAATACACCGTACAAAACTTAACAGAGATCGTCCTATCTTGGTGCTTAAAGCTGGGATTTTCAAAGCAGCCTCCCACTAAACGCCACTCGGGTTCCTAAATAAAAGCATCGTCTACCTTACACAGAGAGAATAAAATAAACCCCTTCCCAAAAGCCTGAGATAGGTTTTGCAGCATGCCCAAGAAGTTATCAGACCCAGGCTCTGCCTGAGCAAATGTTTTATTTCTGTTGCACAACATTGTGGTAGAGCAGCCAAGTAACGAACTCCAGAGTGACTAGCTGGTTCTATAGCCTGTTAAGCTAGTGGAGTTGCAGGTATTTTTGCCTACATCAAGTTTTGTTTGCCCGCCCTTGTGTTCTGTTAAATCTAACAAGTGCATGTGTTTCTTCAATTTGACAGTCAGGAGACCCTGCTGTAATTATCTGCCTGAGGCAACATTTTTGTCTTGCTTAGGGCACATCATTCCTTCTTTTGCTTCCAAGCAAATACCAATTAATTCATTGTGTTTTTCTGTGCTGCCAATTGCAGCAAGGCTTGCTAATGGGTGTTGAACGTTTGCCTATCAGTTAACAGATTTTTGCATCTCGTTCTCATTTTTCAGGACACTGGAGTTCCTAATGAGGCACTTGGCTCATCTAGCTGATTACTGCTCCATCACAAACATGCATAGCAAGAACTTAGCAATTGTCTGGGCGCCAAACCTACTAAGGTACTTCTATTGGATTTTCTCTCCCCTTTACATTTGAAACACACATCAAACCTGTTCCACCAAGTAAACACTGCATGCTGAGGTTATTTCATGCTATGTTCCCAAGAGGATGCTAAATGTCAACACCCAGGAAAACCCCTATGGTTTTGATTCTTCAATTCTTATTCAGGCACAACTGCTGTTGGTTTTTCAGTGGGAGATTTTCCGGAGAAAGTGCTTTGAGACTGGACATGTTGGGCCAGGTCTTCTACTAGCATCATTCCCACTGACGTCAGTGGAACTACAGCAGCTGGCCTTGTGGGCCCACTGGGCCTGTTTCACCATTGTAACTCCACTGATTTTGACAGAATTACTCCTTATTTGCAGTAGTGTAAATGAATGGAGAATCAGGTCTACTTTTTCCCTCCAATGTCATTTTTTTCCTCTCCCTCGGTTAGACATGGATACTGTCTCCTTTGGTCATGCAGGAAAACTGGTTCCATTCTGTGGCGCCACTGATGTCAAACTACACAGACTGCTGCACTGGGATGTGATATATATATACTAGTAGGTTTCAGGGGTGCTGAGAGCCATTGAGCCAAACTGTAAACCCTATATATGATGGAAACCACTTCAAGCCAGGAGGTGAAGCAGCACCCCCAGCACCTCTAGTAGGTTTCATACATATGTAAATGATCTTGCCAGACCCTTGGATAAACTTTGACATGGGAGATTCCAGAGGGACAATCTTACAATGCCATCACTAATTTCAAAACCTTACTTAAAACACAAAACAACCAACCCCCCCCCCCCCCCCCCTTTTTTTTTGTGCTAGTTTCTGGACTGTCCCATTACCATCCTGAGATATCTGAGTCAGAGAGTCCCTCATGGGCAGTTAACGTGTGTGAGCCAGTTTCTTCCGCCTGGCGATTTTCTCTTGGTTAAGGCTACTTTTGAATGTTGGTGGGCTAGTTGGAGATTTTCCTAGCTCATGGGGAAAAGTTTATTTAAAAGGCTACAGTGAGCTTGTTCATGTAATTGCATTGTCAACTTCAAGTGCACATGGAGGGAAGGGGACAAAACAGGCAAGCCTTCGACATGCAGCTCTATCACTCACTTCAGTCTGGGCCTGCAACAGCTGCTCCTCCCTCTGCTAGGGGACACTGTTGCCATTGACATCGAGTCAGATCCAGACTGAAGTCATCACAGCACCAAATTCAGATTTGCCCAGCTCTTTGAAAACAAAGGGAGTTACACCAGCAGAGAATCTGGCCCTTAAAGCGCTATCTGGATCCATTATGGAACCTGCCCTAAGTGGTGTTATATACCTGGTCGCAGCAGTGCAAGTCCGTATGCTCAATGAGCCCGTACCCATGGTGAATTTACATTGTAGTTTAATCCACCATGCATTTCCTTAGATCGAAACAGATAGAGTCTGCCTGTTTCAGTGGAACAGCTGCCTTCATGGAGGTCCGAATCCAGTCCGTGGTGGTGGAATTTATCCTGAATCACGTTGATGTCCTCTTCAGCTCCAAACTCAGCTCAGTAATACGAGACGGGGCAGGTACGTACATTCCTTGAGGGGTTTAATTGTAGCAAAATTGGGGGAAGATTTTAGGGAAATTTGGAATAGTGTTTACAGTAAAAACAAAAGGCCAACATTTTCAGGGATGGGTGCCTAAAGTTGATAGATGTGGCCTGAGTTTTGGGGGTACTGACAACCTTCCTCTCCCGTGGACATCAATAGGAATCAAGGGTGCTCTGTAGAATTGGGTCTAATAATTTGACATCAGCAATTACTGCTCTTTATTCCTGTGATTCACGCATGTTTCTCTGTCTTGGCACAGTTGTAGCTTTTCCCTTGTGGAAGGTCTGTGATAATCTTTAAGGGGCTTTATTACCAAGTTTTCGCTCCCCCCTTCAAGTTGTCTTTGCAACACAGGTTTGTGCAGTATGGTACATACTCCTGCCATCAAGGCCAGCATTTTCAAACTTACGTGCTGAAAGTGTGGCACGCTGACATACTGAGCAGCCACAGCTCCCGCTCACCCTAGTCACCCACATTTGAAATTTTGGGCCCCACTTTTGATAAGAAACATTTTAAATCTTAGACACTAAAGGGTCCATTTTCCATGGAGCCTGCAGGCATTCATTAGCGTGGCTCTGACTTGTTAGCCACACAACTCTACCCATATTCTTGTAACTAGTGGCCAGTTTCCACCTTTGGCAGTGGTTCTCAAACAGGGGTACATCAACTCATCCAGATATTTGCCTGGTTTTACAACAGGCTACCTAAAAAGCACTAGTGAAGTCAGTACAAACTATTATTTCATACAATGACTTGTTTATACTGCTCTATATACTATCAATGTTTCTCAACATGGGGGGATGTGGGATGGGTTTAGGAGGGTCTCAAGTGCAGGGCTGGCCTTAGAGGGTGGCAGGCAGGGCCCCTCCTGAAGCTTAAGACACATGCGGAAGCCCAAGCCCCACCCACCTGGGGCTCAAATCAGACTCCTGAAAGGGGCACAGTAAGTCGCCTGGAAAGGTTGAGAACCACCGACCTATGGGGTGAGGCTACGAGGCACCCAATGAGGTTGGAGGGCCTAACAATGAACTGAACCATATTGTACAGGGCATTGGAATGATTAAAGCATTACTAAGTTGTTTAGCCTGTAAAATGTATCATAACTGCTAACAGCTCCACACAGATTTTAGACAGAAAGTTACAATTCAGCAGAGATGATAATCCAGTATTGATTCCTTAAAGGTATAGCTCCACTTGGACAGATGAGTTCTGCATTCACTCCTCTGTGTGATACACCAAAACACAACGAGCCCAGTCTGTGAAGGCTTTTCTTGGTGCAGAAAATGGTCACAGTTCAAAACTAAAATTCCCATTTCTTGCAAATGCCTGCTATCTCCCCAATGAAGTCAGTAAAGTTACACCAGGGAGGAATTTGACTCCATTTGTTAGTAATATATCGTGGGGGTTGAACATACATGTATCTAATAGATATTAAAATATCAAGTAGCTGATTTAATGTAGCTCTTCCTTAGTACAAAATGCAGTTGTCACTAACTATGGGCAGAGTTAAGCTGTTTGCCAGTGTATTTGATGCTTTCCATTTCCGTGTTAGGGCCTCATTGTCTTCAGCATAGTAGATTTGCTGTCAGTCCAGCTTTCCACCCAAGAGGCAAGTATAAAGCAGTAGGAGTGAGGGGTTTGCTCAGCTGTTATGATAAGAGCCCTAGTTGAGCGATACATGCATATTTCCACCATGATTCTAGCTGATCTTTCAGTGTTAATTATACCTGGTCCAGGCTGTTTTCTTCCAGGGGGAGACAATTATTTGGCTCAAGTTCTCAGCATGGTTATCTGAGTTCAAAATGGTCTGTGTTTAATTTACCAATTAGCAAACCAGTCTCTGTTTTGATTTGTTGGTTGCTCTCAGCAATGTGTCTCAATGGCGAGCAAGATGCTGGGGCTTGTCATATGGTAGTAGCAAAGCTCAGGGAACATTTTACAGGAGCGAGACAGCATGTAGCATCCTGTAAGGGGCTGTCTGCACTGCACTCGGCAGGTATGATTACAGCACATGTAGACATATCTGAGCTAGATTTGATCTAGCTAGCTTGAACAATGGTAGCAGTGCAGCCATACAAGATGGCAGCTTGAGGACATACACTGTGTCCTGGGTGGGGTTGTACAGTCTGTGTTGCCGGCCATGCTGCTGAGGCGTCACTAGTACTGTTACTCAAGCCAGCTCCAGTATGTACCCAGGATCTAGCTTGAGTGTGTATACACAAGCTGCAGTCACACCTCCTGATGGAAGTGTACACATTACTAATGCTTCGAGTGTGCATCTCTTTAGGTGTCAGATATCAGAGGGGTAGCCATGTTAGTCTGGATCTGTAAAAAGCGACAAACGTTTAACGTTTTTAAAAGGTCTCTTTCTAGAAGTCTATAATATATAACTAAACTATTGTTGTAAATAAGGTTTTTAAAATGTTTAAGAAGCCTCATTTAAAATTAAATTAAAATGCAGAGCCCCCCGGACCGGTGGCCAGGACCCGGGCAGTGTGAGTGCCACTGAAAATCAGCGCGCGTGCCGCCTTCGGCACACGTGCCATAGGTTGCCTACCCCTGCTCTATAAGGTGCCATAGAATTATTGGAGCATAAGCTTGTGGTAGAAATTTCCAGAGGCAGGTATAAATATGCAGGCAAGGATCTCTTTAGGTGATACTGAAGACTGTTTCTAACGTGATTTGAGTGGCCACTGCTGATCAGCCTGAGCCAGGACATGTTTTCTATACCATTTTTCCAAGCCAGTGTGGGGATTGGGCCACTGTTCAGCATAGAATAACTTTTAAACATGTCTCAAAGACCAGTGCAGACAAGGGACTACGTGCCCATTTTATGCAGGGTTGTGTTGTTCAGTAAGCTGGCAAGGGATAATCATGTTAACATTGGCAAAATTCATACTCATAAGCGCAGGAGGGCTATCGTAACAGGGTTGCATATGATTTACTAAACCACTCTATAAACTAGCTCTGTTGTAACAGGTTCCTCTGCAAGGAAAGTTGACATACAGGGTTGTAGTCCTGGGAAGTAATTTTAACTAGTTTTGATCTTATTAAAAAAAAAAAGTGGTTAACTCACTTTAAAGAAACAAAACCCAAAACTTTATTTAAGTAGCAATAAAGAAAAAGGGGAAAAACAACTACAGCCATAAAACAGTCCAGCTCCTAATTTATTACACTCTGTCCTAGTATTTGTTGGGAGCTATTTAAAATGTTACAAACATGCTTGCAACTAGTATGTATGATTTAAATCACTCCTATTTAAAATGTTTAGATGTAACCATTCCCCCCCATACTCTGAGCTAGAACCAAGGTTGGTGAGTGCAAGTAAAACCAGCAATTAGAAAGAAAACAGGCACCTTTCTGTACAGGGTTTTGTACCATCCTATAGGAGAACTGAAAATATTCTAGCCCTAGAATTCAGAGATGGTTAAAAGCAAACCCCTATAGAATGGAGATCAAGTCCTGTAGGCTTCTAGAGTAATTGATACAGAATCCTAATGGTTTTCTCCCTCCCAATTACATCCTATAAGACTTTGCCAATTATTAATTCCACTGTTACACAAACCCCATTATGGCAGAACTAATAGAAGCTATGTTGGCCTTTTCTTGGGTTTCCAAGGGCTCAGGAAATGCTATAATCTATCCATGGGCCTTATTTTTCCTACTGCTCCTCTCTGATTCTCTTCCTTGACTCTGGTTTTCATTTGCAGGTCACACTTCCTTATCACGCCCCAAATCACTGCTCGTCTCCTCGCCCTCAACTAAGCTGCTCACCCTGGAGGAGGCACAAGCAAGGACGCAAGCCCAGATCAACTCCCCTATAGTGGCAGACAGTAAATACATTGAAGTGGGAGAAGGCCCTGCTGCATTACAGGGGAAATTCCACACCGTCATAGACTTTCCATCTGAAAGGTAGAGGCTTTTACTTTCCATCACTGTGTGTTTCAGCAGGCTTTTAACGATTACAGCCATTTGACCTCAGCAAGCCTTGCTTACAATGCATAGTCAGCCTCCCACCCCCAGTGGGGATGGGGTTGTTCTGTATCCATGAGGGTGCAGCAGGACACATGCAGAGACATCTGAGGTGTAAATTGAGCCATATGTTTGTTGTATGCCTTGAGTGAGCTGGCCATGTGACTCCCTCCGTCCCACCAGAGATTCATGTACGTGTGCATGGAGACTTAGGAGATGCGGTGTGGGGTCAAGAAGTTTTTATAATGCAAATGAAATTCTCTCAAATCCCTTTCCTGCTATGTTTAGTTTAGTTATAATTAAGGGAACAGGTACATTTGCGTATAAAATAAGAGGCATTCTTGGTTCAGACTCTGAATTTTTAAGGCGCCAGGCCTGAACAGCATTCAAACTGCCCTGCTGCGAAAAGGAAACAAATGTCCTTTATACAGGAGCTCAGTTTTGTTCAATGGAATTGACTCCACAAGTTCTGGGACTGGACCTTTCCAGGTAGAGAAGCATAAATATTCTCTGCTGCTGAAATATACGTCTAGTTTTCTCAGCCTTGTTTCAGCACCAGGTTCTCTGCCAAAGCCAGCAGGCCAGGTGCAGAAAGAATCAGGTCTGGTTGGTAAGACTTAGTGACTGGCAACGCGTCCTGAATGCAAACCCCCTTCTGCTTTCTTGCTCCAGAAAAAGACCGCCCAACAAGATGAAGAAATCCCCTGTTGGCAGTTGGCGCTCCTTCTTCAACCTGGGAAAATCCTCTTCTGTCTCCAAGCGGAAACTGCAGCGCAATCCAAGTGAGCCCTCCGAAATGAAAGCCATAGCGCTGGCAGGTGAGTAGGGTGCCCTTTGTTCCTACCAAACAGGGTGCTGCTGGGAAAGTAACCCACATTTAGTATGCTTCTCTGTTCCCCTCCAGTGCTTAGATTCAAACCTCTATTCATGGATTATGGCCCGCTACAGCCTTTCATTAATGGAACCTGAGTTCTTTAGCTGAGGCAGTAGAGGTTCATGCTTTTAGATCCAGACCTTATCCAGGGGTGTCATTGTCATTGTTACAAAAGCAACCCAACGGATTCAGGACTGACAACTCAGTGTTCTTGGGAAAGTTTACTGACATTACTAAACAGGTATAACTCTTATTCCACAATAAGAGCGTGTTTTTCTGGTTTAGCTTGTCTCTCTTTGGGAGCAGTATAAACTAACCTGGAAAAGGGCCCTCATTCCATAGTAAAAAAGGGAGTTTATACTACTATAGTAATGCCCATAAACTTCCACATATAGACAAGCATTTAGACTCTGAGACTGTGTGTAATATGATGTAGATAGAGATGTGCCTCTCCCTTACCCACAACCCCCTTTTATGTATATCCATCTAGTATCTCTCTCCAGCTTCTCTTAAAATACCACCTTATAGTTTTCAGTAACTTTGAATGATTTGCAAATTTTCCTTAGTATAAAATGAAATTAGAGAGAGGGGATGAAAGTCCCAACTTGGCCATATTAGGGAACCCTTGTATATTTCATGGTAGTGGTTTCAGAAGTATCCACAGACTTCCCCAGTACTTCAAAGATAATGCTTAGTCTGTGCCCACAAAATATGCAGCCCGAGTTTTTCCCTGCCTTTGGCTGCTTTGCATTGTGCTACCACCACAAACTGATACAGCAGGTAGAGGGGCATCCTTTGCTTACATAGAGGTTACCATGCCTCTCTCCAGCTGCTAGAGTACAGGGGCTGAGAGCTTCCAGTGATCCTCAGCTACTGTAATGGCCCTTGGAGCCACTGGTAGATGGTGAAAGTTAGAGCAGCCTTCAGACTACTCTGAATTACACCGATGGATCAGTGGGATACATTGCCATTGCCCGACCAAGGGGCATCATCTTATGGGGCTCCTTACCCATTCCTCCCACTTCAGATTCAAGTGAGCCTGCACCCCCTCCCCCAAAAGGAATCAGGGCTGGGGACCTATGGCCAGTTTGCTTCCCAACCCATCCCTCTGCAGAGATTAACAGCTCGTTGTCAGTTTCTCCCTTTGTAGGGGAGAATATTACCACCACCTAACCTTTGGCACCTCTGTTAATTCACTTGTGTGTGTAAAGCTCCTTTTTGATGGAAGACACTGTAGAAATGCCCAATAGTATAAATTGTGGTATGGGATACAAAGAGCATACAGTTGTGACTGGAGCTTTTGTGCGAGCATGTAGAAAAGCTGCTTAGATTCGAGCGAGTGGTACGGCTGGCAGAAACCCAACTATCTTCACGCCATGAGCACGTGGCAGATTATAAAAAAGCTTCTTTTACGTTTGGTTCTGTAGGTGGGAGAGGAGATAGCGGGACCCTGCGCTCGGCTAAAAGTGAAGAGTCTCTCACTTCCCTGCATGCTGTTGATGGTAAGATAGAAAAACAACTGGCTCACAAAGTGTAAAAGGGAGTGTGACATTTCTATAGACCTGTGAATGTTACAGCACTTCATAAAGTAGATGGTGGTGTCCATGACTAAGTCCTATGACTTCTCTTGTAAAATCAGTTTTAGTGAGCAACTGCCCAGTCTTCCAGGAGACATCCTATTATTTTGGAGAATCTCTGTGGCCTGTGCTAGACAGGAGGTCAGATGAGATGATCACAATGGTCCCTTGTGGCCTTGGAATCCGTGCATCTATTGCCAAACAGGGTCACACTGTGCTCATGTTTCAGTGTGTCTACCTTTGTTAGTGCATGTAACTCATAAGCAGTCACGTACCAACAACTTAATGGTGTCAATCCAGAGTGACTGAGGTCAATAGGAGTTGTTCTTGCTTTAGAACTAAATGTTAAAGCAGATTTTTACATGGCTCTGTGATGTTTCATGGAACCTAGTTGACACATGGTGTCAAAGTCAGGCTGGTTTCATCCTCTAAGAAAGAGTTCATTAACGTCAGAGCAAGTTTCCCCTTGAACGTACATCTCCACAGGAGTAAGGCAACTCCTATGTAGGTCAAAAGTGAAATTAGCTTGGACTCACCTAGTTTTTACTGGAAGTTGTGTAAAAACTTACAACAATGGATGTTTGCTCCTTGGGCCATTTCTAAAGGTGAAGTAGTATTATATAAGCTGGGAAAATTCAATGGACTTCATTTCACAAGCCCTAAAATTTAGGCCAGGTCTACACTAGAAGCACTTTGCCAGTATGGGTATCCCTGTATAATATACTAGCGAAACTCAGCTTCTGCTCACACAGCTGATTCCAGCTTCCTGTCTTCCTCCACTCCCCCAGCAAAAGCAGTTTTGCCAGTATACCTGCACCTACAATACAGGTTTTTGCCTACACAGCTCTGGTGGTCAAGAGTGACAAAGCTAGTAGCCCTTGCCTTACACTAATTTTTAAAAAGAAAGGATAGTGAGATTGGTATACATTTTATTTACTATAATACAGTACTGACCAAGAAATAGCATTGCTAAATTAACCCCAACCACAGAGGTGGAAAACCAAAACAAACTATCTAGTAAATGTGACCCTGTCTGGCCTTTATATAGCAATAATTCAATTTTAAAATGCATTTGAAATCTGAGTGTTTTACTGCCACTCCCCACCATAATATCTGAGTATCTGATAAAGCAAAAAGAGACTGACCCTAAAACCTTTTCTATTGCCAAATGTATTCATATGCTTCAGAGATTTTTGCTAAAGTTACTGACTGTCTGGATCCCTGTAAGCAGTGCTCACTGTAAGCTTAATTATGGAGGTGCCTCAGCTCCTTCATAGCTATAGACCATATAGCTTTCTTGATTAGATGACTAAATAAAGGTATGCAGAAATGCTTAATGGACTAGATTTGCTTGTGCATTCATGTGGTACCAAGGGCCGATGCAGTGCACTTCAGAGATCTTTACTGCATGTTATTTTCCTTCTAGGATCAAAAAGTAAAACCTGCTTTTATTAAGACAGTGTTTGTATCAGATCTGCTTATGTTTAACATTCACTTTTGTGACTAGACCATATTGGGACTTCGACTGCATTTATTAACTAGTTTTGGAACCGTTTTCTAAAACCCTGTTTTGGTCTAAAAACCATTTGATCGAGCCTACATCATCCAGGCAAACTAAACTTAAATAGTTTTATCAACTGTTTTAGTCTAGCAAATGGTTTCAAGTACATCTACATTAGTTTCCCACACTCCCTTTAACCCAAGTTAGCCTGCACTGGTTTATTATTATTTGTATTACTTTAGTGCCAAGAGACCACAGCTGAGATCAGTGTCCTATTGTGCAGAGTTTTAAACTAAATCAACAAAAACAGCTAGTAAGTCATGGCCTCATGCAGTTTTTAATGAACATTTATCTAGTGCCCTATTAATGCTTATCCATGTCCTTGTTGCTAGGTGAATCTAAACTGTTCCGGCCTAGAAGACCCAGGTCCAGTAGTGATGCACTGTCTGCTTCCTTCAATGGGGAGCTCCTGGGGACCATGAACCGCTGCAATTCTTATGATAACCTGCCCCATGACAATGAGAGCGATGGGGACGAGGGGCTGATTCATGTTCCTGCCCTCATCTCTCCTAGGTCAGCAGAAGATGTTGACCTGAGCCCACCGGATATTGGAGTAGCTAGCCTGGATTTTGATCCTATGTCTTTTCAGTGCAGTCCACCCAAGGCAGAGTCCGAGTGCCTGGCTAGCAGCATCTCTCTGTTGGAGTCCATGGGTTTTAACAGGGACAAGCCAAGTGTAGCGAAGAAGGATTTGGAGTCTGGTAGCCAGAGTCAGACCCCTGGCAGTGCCACAAGCTCTGAACCAGTGTCCCCCTTCCAAGAGAAAATGAGTCCCTTCTTTACTCTGGACCTGAGCCCAACTGAGGAGAAAGAATCCAAAACTCACTCCTTCTCGGAGAAGGTCGCCCATGCCTTCTCACCTAAGACGGGCCGAAAGCCAATCAAGTCTCCGCTGGTGACTATATCAGAGCCAGTCTCTTTGACGCTGCCCAGACAAGCGTGCGAAGGGATGCCTAGTGCTGCAGGGAATGCGGCTTCTCCAAACTGGAGCAAAAGCGTCAACGAAGCCACAAACAGGTCCCCAACCCAGAGGATGTCTTTGCCCCTGAAAGCCAGCGAGATGGCAGCAGGTGAGGGGTGCCACCAAGAGGCCCAGACCCAGGTGATTGCTGCCAAGCCAGAGTTGCAAGAAGAAGGGGAGCGACCCATGCCAAGCAGCCAGAATAAGACTGTACCTTCTGGACACACTCAGCCAGGTACAGTGCGTTTTCCTCCATTCTTTCTTTAAGTTCTAAAGGGACATGCTCCCAGAAACTTCTCTTCGTGCCTTTTAGGAGAGGGGAATACGCCTCGATTCCGATCCTAAATCAGAGGGAGTATCTTGCAGGGCGATGCAGGTTGCTAAGGTCTCAGTAGAAACCTCTCTGTCTTTTCCCTCCATCACAGAATTCTTGGATACTTTCCTCAATACCTTATGTGCCCCCCCTTTGTCTTTTTTTTTTTTTTTATCCTATCATAAAATGAAACTCTATAGCGTACCCTTGCGTATCAGTTAACAAGTGAATTGACCACCTAAGACACTCAATGGAAAAAAAACCCACCTGCCAACACTTGAAGAAGGGTCTTTTTTTCAGCCCCAAAGCATGTGGTCTAAATTGGTTATAAGGGGGTCTCGTTCTCTGCCTTACCTACTTCCTACCTCTCTAGAAATGCAAGAGGAACCTTTAGACAATCTCTTGGTGTGGTTTTCCTGCTGAACAGCTGTACTATTCAGCAACATTTGCATGTGGGACAGAAGATAAAGTATTTCACATCAAGGAAATGCTACTGTGAAAAGCATCTATTTTTATAATGGTCTATAGGGTTAGGTCACTATCCTTACAGAGTAACAAATCTCTCTCTCTCAATTTTCCCCCCATTAGGAGCAGTTGCCCTCGACTCCCCCCAGGATCCTGTTCCTGTCAGTTCTGTGTCTCTTATCCCTCCTCCTCCTCCGAAAAACGCAGCACGCATGCTGGCCTTAGCGTTAGCTGAGTCCGCACAGCAAGCATCTACTCAGTCCCAGAAGAAGCCAGGAGATGCTCATTCTGACTGTACAAATTACAGAGACACTGACACTGGTATAGCTATAGAAAAGGTCCACCTCTCTGCTGGGGCTGCTCCAGACAAGCTCCATCTGTATACGGATGTTCCTGAGAACCAAATCCACTTCCAGAGTGGGGCACCTGGGGACCAACTCCAGAGTGGGGCACCTGTAGACCAGGACCTCACTAGGACACCTGGGGACCGCAGTCATCTACACCGTAGTACACCTGGAAACAGGGACCACCCCCATCTGCATACTGGCATGCCTGGGGACCTGCATAGTGGCACAAAGGTGGACTGGAATCACTCCAACTTCCATAGTGGAACAGTGGGGGACGAGGACCACTTCCCCTCCCATCCAGGTGGCCCTGGGGATTGGGAGCACACTCCTCTCCATACAGGTGCTTTGCTTGGCCGGGAACCATCCACAACAGATGTGCCTATAGACAAGCCACACCTCCATACTTGCATATCTATGGATAAGTATCACATCCCTGTGGAGAAGCTTCATCTCCCTGCCAGCACAGCTGATGACAAACTCCAGCCGCCTCCTGTAGCTGCCAGGGAGAAAACCGCCATGGCTACAATGACATACGTGACAACTACCCAGACACCAGCAACTGAGATGAGTCATGGAACAACAGGTCAGCACCCGGCCGCTGAACCCACCGCTCAGGCAGATGGTATTGTCACGGCTGCTCAGCGCATTCTTATGACCAATTCCCTAGCACCATCTCAGAGACAAGCAGACCATCAGCCAGCCATGGGACAAGTTCCAGCCGTAGCCACCAAAGGATCAAGTAGTTCCAACCAGGTAAGTGATGCGCGCGTATACCCCTGCCCCTTGTATCTATATTTGTACATGCAGCATCTATGTGTAATAATAGTAGGGATGGAATTTTGAGAGACAAAGTATGGGCTGTATCCACGGAGGAGCAAGTGAGACATACTTTCAGCTCCAGATGACCTAAATACAAAGGAGTGGGACAGATTCCCAGGAATTATTAGTGTATGTATAATATATACACCCACTCAGAGCTATGATAGTGCTTTCCAGTATATTCATTGATACTTTCCAGGGAATACCTACCCCAGTACACTCCCTCCTACACTAGTTTTAAGGGAATCAGTGATGCCAACATACCATTATTCTTATCATCCCACATTGTTTTGCAAACAATGACTTGGGTCCTGGTAGCATAGTGATTTAGCAAAGTGGGCTAGATACTGGACTGTGTGCAATGAGTAATTTAGACATAGCTTTGAATACAAGACCACGCCTTAGGGAATGCCAGTTAAGACACCAATCTCAAAGCCATCCCTTACTCTATTTCAGATGTGCTCTGAAACTCCAGCAGAAGCCACCCGAAAAAAACCTTTAATTTCATGTCTCTTCTTAAGGATGGTATTTTTAACAGTGCTGGGCTCTCCCCGTAGTCAGTTACTGGCACAGTTCAGTAACAGCCCTGAATCCTGGGATTTGGATGTAGGCTCAAATGGCTTTAGACATCACAACGTTACATGCTACCAACTTGAGCCTTGCCAACAGAGCAACTGCATTCACACACACCTGGAATCTAATAATTGTCAGAGACACACTAAGGAATAGTGTTGTTAATTCAGAGGAAGTTAAATATTTATTTGTACGGTACTGTTATGCTACTATAGATCATGCGTTAACTCAGAGCTAGGTATATAGATTCAAAACAAGGTTTGCCTGTGCTAAAATACATACCTTTATAAAGGCCATCTGTCAAAGTGTTCTAGGCTCTGTACAAAACGTTTTGGTCACTTGGTCTTTAGAGACCACAGACTGACAACGGTCTTCTCCCCACAGTTTATGGTCACAGAAATAAATGGACAATCTCAGCACTTCCCAGCCCATCCACTAGTCCCCATTAAGCCTGGGGAAAACAGGTGCAAATTGTAGCATGTCCCAAAGATCACTAAAATCTCTCTCAAAAGACAACGTTGCCCCCGTGTTCAAACAAACAAACAGCTCTGCACAGACTGAACAGCAGCCCAGGCTATATTGTAGGGGAGCGCGATACTTTCTGTAGAGCTGATTATATGGGTAGCCAGTATAGCGACTCTGCAGTGGAGGGTGAGGGATGCTCACACACTAACCTCCATGTGGTTTCTCCATACTAGGTACGAGGAGCACCGCCTCCAGAGAAGCCGCCTGAGCCTCGACTAGCGGAGCCTGCTCCAGTTTTTGTCACCGAAAGTAGCTCCGCTATCCGATGTACCTCGTCTACCGCTGCGTCCCACCAGGGCCATTTGGAAAAGTCCCGAGAGAATGTCAGGGCTCCCTCTTTGCACCTGCGTTCGGAATCGGTCCCCACGCACTCCTCCTATGGCTTTGCGCCCCCCATCCCGCCCGTGAGAACACTGGAGAGTAAGATAGCTGCAGCCATGCACTCCAACAGTATGGATGCAGTGAATACCTCCAGTTACCATTCCTTCCTGGCTTCCTCCATTCTGCCATCGTCTGTGGAGGAGGCTTTGCCCCCACCGCCACCGCCCAAGCACGCCTCTCTGCAGTCTGCATATCTGCCCCATCCCAAGCCAGAGAGCACCCCTGAGCCGCCCATGTCAGAGAACTATCTGCACCACAAGCCAGCGTCCGTCCATCAGTACAGGCCAGAGAGCGTCCCGCCGCATCTCTCCTACCACGGCAAATCCGACCAGCACCAAGCTTACGCCTCCAGGTCGGAAACGCCCACTTCCATGGGCCCCCGCTACACCACCTATGCCAGCCAAGGGAAGAACACGTCAGTCCATCACTCCAAGCCTCGCAGCCGCGTGGAGTACGCGTCCTCCATGAGCCCTACCACCCTGCGGAGCACCGGGTATGCAGAGGAGCCTCCGCCCTACCCCACCATCCGCAGGGTGCAGTCACTGCACGTTTCCACCCCTTCCACCATCCGCTCCGTCCCCATTTCGCGGACAGAGGTGCCTCCCGATGACGAGCCCGTGTACTGCCCGCGGCCCCTTTATCAGTATAAGCCATGCCAGCCCCACTCAGATTATCACGTCACTCAGCTGCAGCCTTACTTCGAGAATGGGCGCGTGCATTACAGGTATAGCCCTTATTCCAGCTCGTCTGGCTCCTCTTATTACCCCGCAGCAGCAGACGGGGGGTTTTATGACCTGGACCCCTACAGCACGATGCGGCTTAGGCATTTCCACCCCCTTCCTAGCCGAGACTTTGCATCTTACACCTCCAGGCTGCAAAGTAAGAATCTGTACCGCTATCCCGGCCTGCCTGCCTATCCTCGGGGAGGCCTGATGAGCCACCTGGCGGGAAAAGAGCACAGCTTTATCAGCAGAGATGTGCCCCCAGCCCCGGACATCAAGCACACATACATGTCATGGGATCTGGAGGACATGGAGAAATACCGCCTGCAGTCCATCCGCCGGGAGAGCCGCTCACGCCAGAAAGTGAAAGGGCCAGTGATGTCCCAGTACGACAATGTGACTCCTCTGCTGCAGGAGGAGCTGGGGGGGCTGGACATCATCCACCTCCGCAGCAAATCGGATCCTGGGAAAACTGGTCTCCTGACTGTAGCCGAAGGGAAAGAAGGGAGGTATCCAACCAAGGCAGCCACCCCCGAAGGGGACGAACGTTACTATCTGCAGCACTCGGAGCCGGAGCCGGACAGAACCCATTACCATGGGGCCTATGGGAATGGGCAGTCAGAGAAGCCTTCCCTTCCCCAGAAGCAGAGCAGCATCAGGAGTCGAAAGCTGCACGAGCCAGGCTGCAACGCTACAGAGCACAGGGGACACCTGCAGCAGGAAGCAAGCCATCGGCAGCCTTCGGAATCCAAAAATGGGCCCCCTTACCCAGACTACAGGCCAAAGGGTGGCCAGGAACCCATGGAGCCCGTTGGTTTCCAGCACTCGGGGGGGAAGTACGTCACAGCCGGACAGGAGGCCCTGCGACCTAACCACAAGGAGGTGAAGCTGGCAGAGGACCGGCCAGACTTGGAAAGGCCTCGAACCAGGCAAACAGCCCCTGCTGAGAAACACACCAGAGACTGCTATAATAAAGAGGAGGAGCACCACGTCCAACCCATGGCGCCGCCTCCCAAGCCAGAACGGAGCCACAGCCTCAGAATCCGGCATCCGGAGAGCATGGACAGGGACCCTGGCCTCCTGTACCCATACCAAACCCTTGGCAAACGCCAAAGCAGTCTGACAGTGGTGTCCCAGTACGATAATTTGGAGGATTACCATACCATGCCTCAGCACCAAAGAGGGGGCTACCTTGGAGGAGGGGCGTTCATGCCCCCTGGCTTTCCCCATTCACACAGTAGGACATATGCCACAGCATTGGGCCAAGGGGCCTTCCTCCCTTCAGAGCTGTGTTTGCAAAGGCCGGAAACAGAGATCCATGCCGAGTGAGCTGGGGGAAGGAGGGATAGAGCCTAAGCAGCCTCTGCTGGACAGTGGACTGTTTTATTTTTTCAATGACAAAATTTAAAACAAAAAACAAACAAAAAAACCCACCCCCATGAGCAAAGCAAACCCACTCTCAACCCTGCCACCAGCTCACCACTCAATGTTTGTCCTAGGTGTAGAGTTTTCTTTCATGTCGTTTGAGAGGTTGGAATGATCACGCAGGCTGTGTTGGCATGTGGAAAGATGAGCCAGGACCCAGAGAGGCAGAGCAGATCTGAAAGAGGAATGGTGGGGAGGGGCAAAGGGGGTTTCCTTCCCCTGGTTTGACATGGGCTGGTGGTTGCATGCAGCTCTTCTCTTGGTGTCTCCCAAGCATATCCAGTCACTCTCCCAACTGCCAACATCAGAGGAGTTGCATGAATAGGTTTTACCCTTTGAATGAGATGCCGTGGGGGAATCTGTCCTGACCCTTTCAGATTGAATCAGTAACACACCGCAAGCTGTGGGGAAAGGACAGCTTCAAAGTGTTTGTTTCCTCCTAGATTATTGGTGCTCTGCATCCCCTTGAAAATTGTGGAGGGGAAACTGGGCCTAATCCAGTTCCCACTGAAGTGGGAGTGAGATTGGCCCCAAGCCAGGTCACAGAGCTGTTACAGAACACAGTCTGGTTTTTAAAGGCTCATTGAACAAGCAGCTTCTAGCTAGAGAACGGATATTTACTGAAACTCCAGCATTCACCCTCATTCTGATACTATAAATGGAGACGAGTTTTGAAAGCAAAGCGAGCCAGGGCAGCACTTCTACCTTTGAAAGTAAAAAACCCACCCTCTCTCCTGCCACGCACACTCTTGGGCACAGGTGATTGAGCAGCATACATATTTCATGCTAATTCCTCTTTACTTACAGGCTACCCACAGAACCAGCTATTTAATTGCACGTCCTAGCTGGCCTGAAACTACCATCTATTTACGTCACTAGATGATTGTGTCCAGCTTATAAACTAGAGCACAGGTTCCCTGCTGGGAGCAACTTGCATAATCACCAACTTAGCTGCATGACCATGGAGTTGCTCTGGGCCAAATAACTCAGTCCTTACTTCAGGAAAACTCCTGTTGACTTTCATATTCAGCCTACAGGATGAGGCTCTCTTTTTAGTACTGCCTCACCCACAGTGAGTTGCTGTAAGTACAGAGCAGTTACGTGCTGTGGGCGCTATGAAATAGCATTGCCTCCCTTATTGCAAGTGTCGTTCACACCAGGATTCAGGCATTGGGCTGGGGTGAAGGGATGGGACAATGCACCTCTTTATAACACACTCCTGGTGTTGCCCTGCCTATTTAAAATGCTCTCCTTACTTCATAGAAACAAGACAGCGTTTCATCTGCAGCCTCTCTGGATTCACAGCCATTTTAACCCCACCTTAAAGCACATACATTTTATGAGACAGGGCTTCCTAGAAAATACTTGTCATTTAGCATTTAAAATATTCAGAATTCACCCATGCTACGGGGACCTTTCCTGTACTGTTGGATCACACAACTTCTCTACCTGTTTTGAAATTCAGAGGGTTTATTTAAAGAAAGCATCTGAGAAGTTCTCTTAGCTGAAAGTCCTGGAGCTAGCATAGCTAAGATTATTAAAGGAACTCATGTCAGAGCCTCCTAGAACAAGTGTTTTATTCATTGCTATTTTTGGCTTTTAAAGTAATAATAAAAACCTGTCAGCACTCACAGGGGAACAACACACTTCTAATAGGTACCTAGTCATTAGCAGTTTGGTTCTTTTAATCTCATAGCCTTTTCTGGGTCTGTTTTAACTAGGATAGCCTATGGTCTGATTTTATGGTGCAATGTATTGTTTTAAGAAGAATTTGTTTAATATAGAGAGTTTTTCCTAAATGTTATGGAAATAAATTTAGCTGTCAGGAAAAAAGCACTGTGATCTAGGTTACCTCAATATCATTCACCTTGTGACTAACTAGAGGGTGTTTTTCTTTTCCTTTCTTTTTTGGGGGGAGGTGGGGGTGTGTGAAAGGATAAAGCATGAAAGGGCTGTTAGCTGAAAACACAGAGCCACTTAGTGGACCAGCCATTCTCTCTGGGCTACTAGCCAATTCTGCTAGTAAATCTGGCTTTCCTGATACAATCTGTCCAGGGGAATCTAGCTGCAGTACTCAGTCAAGTCCCAATACTAGTCTCTAAACATAACTTAGCACTTCATCTCCCCTCTGCTGCTCCAGAGTGTCAGCCTCCCTTGTTCTGGATTTGGGGCAGGAACAAACTCATTGGTTCAGGCTATTCAGGATTGAGGTGACAAGGACAGCCTGTCAAACCTCTCTCCCCCTCCATCATCGCCTTAATTCTCCTTCCAACCTCTCTGTATTGGCCTTAAGTTACCCAAAGAATCCTCCCTATGAGACAGCTGAACTGAGCTCCCTCGAACAGTGAACATCTCTGCTCCTTTTCCTGCACTTGTTGCCTACCTTGAAGCTAGCCTGCTCCTATAGGGCGTAAGCACCATCTCCCAACTATTGCCACTCCTTACGAGCAGTAGCAGCAAGAGACAGAGCCTGGGATCTCAGCCTGCTCCACTGTTCGCAGCATGACAGTCTGCACAGCACCCTACCATCATTGGTTTCCGTGGAAGTCAAGGTCCCTCAGCACCATACAGGAATGGCCCCGTAAGTGAACAACCGACCCCATCATTAAGGCCTTGTCTAGACATGAAAATTAATCTGGAATAAGGTAGGGTGTGACTTTAGAGCAGACCAGCTATTCCTGATTCACCTCTGTGGATGGATGCTCATATACCAGAATAAGAGTACTTTATTCCAAATCAGATTAATCCCTGGATTAAACTAACTCAGGTGTTCTTATTCTGGAATAAGAGAATCCCCGCATGGAGTTAGTCAGGAAATAGTCAATTCAGACTAACTCCCTATGTAGACAAATGGATTAATGGCTTTACATCTCTCTGATAACAGCCCTCTTAAAGATCAGGGATCTTTCTTTTTTGTTCCAGCATGAGACATTCATTCAGCCTCTTCCCTTTAATGTACTTGGGAACAAGTTTATCCCTAGTTTCCTCCCATGCCCAGCCTTACAACATGCAATTGGAGGGCCAGCAGCCCTGTAAGAGCCCAACTGGTAACTCAACTCCAGGGTTAGGGCAAGTGCGCTAATGAAGGGGTGAGACTAGAGCAGCAAGCAAGGAACTTGAACCCTTCACAGGCACTCCACTGCTAATATTTTGAACCTTCTTTTTCCCTTAACAAAGCCATATAGTGAACTATGCAGTTCTGCTCTTGTACTGTGGTTAAATTTTGGAACTTGATGGCCCTTAGAGAAATAATCCCACCCCATTCATTTGATTATACACCCAACAGTGTCCATTCTTCAGGAATGGGGACCACTGCAGAGAGGGTGGGAATTGCCCCAGGTCATTCAAGAACAATAGAGATGTGTTCTAGAGTCTCAGGTGGCCCTTGGCCAAGTAGTAGTTGGGTATGATGCACAACATGGCATGTAGTCCCATCAGTGAATGGGGTAGGGAGGGGAGACCCCTGCTGGGGGGAAAAAATTAGGATGATAATGTACCAACTATGTGCCAGGTTCTGCTCATCTGTAGTAACCTATTGTCTAAGTATAACCTCAGTAAGAATACATGAGCAGTAGCAGACTTGGCAAGTTTCCTATACCTGTATCACTGCCTGCCTGCCTCTTTATTGCCACTTGCTGAGTTTTCAGATTAATTTCTCGTTACCATGTGGGCCCAATTCTGCTCTGGGAGTGGTGTAGAGATCTGCTCTGGATTTGCACCTGCAACTCAGAGCAGAATGTGGCCCGTAAAGAAAGCTCTCCGTGACTACAGATGTTGAGATCGCAACCAAGGCGTGGGCCCTGTCACATCTACTTCAGTTCTGATTTTAAAACGTCTGATCAGGTTTAAACTTATATGCATATGACAGTAAAAACTTTGTGCCTACAGGTCTTTACAGAGGTAATAGGCTTGTGCTTATCACTTGGGGGGGAGGGGATATCAGTGAGGATTGCACAGGTGTAGCAAATTGCTACACAAAACCAAAATAAACTTGAAAAATGTATTGTTCCCTTTAGCTATAAAAGGGACAGACCCTTGTGTGTAGTCTTTGCCATTCATCTCATTGGTATGTAGACAAAGCATCGACTGAAACAGTGTGTAATGTGCTAGAAAATCTGAATGAAAAATTGCATTGAACATTTATTTTTTAAAGGGCCTGTGACACTCTTCCAGAACCATGTGCTACAGAAGTCTGATGCCACAGACATGGTGTAGTTTAAAGAGGTGTACACAGTAACCCCAGTGCGTGCAACCATTCTTGCAAAAACCAACATGAACAGTGATGTTTGCAGTTCATTTTCCTGCTGTAAAAATGTGACCCTTTTTGCCCTAAGCCACATGAGAGAAAAATCCCAGAAAGCCTTAGGATTACCTTCAGCGTTCCCTTCACTTTAATTTATAGAGTGTCTTATTTTCATGTTTGGGTTTTTTTTTTTTTTTGTGAACTGGTGTAAAATGTATATGCTGACAAGCTCATGTATTTTTATGTAAATATTTTTGTGGTTTTCCCAGCCCCGCTCTGTAAATACTTAGATTCTCATTTTCTTCCCACTTTGTATGATGCGGATGTGGTTTTGTTTTCTGTTTTTATTTGTACTGTAATGCAATGATCCAGACTGAGGTGTCTTGTGGTATTTAAAAAACAAAGTCACCAGTCCCACTGAGCTCACATTCAGATGTACGACTCAACAGCATTAATCAAGCCTGGTTAAAGCCGCCTCCTTTGCATTCGTGTGTGTTTGTGCCTCGGCCAGGTTAATTAATAATATACTGAAAAGAGCTAGGGCGTGGAAAAACTAGTTTAGAGCCATGAGGTTGTGGGGCCAGGTACCTCGAAAGACGAGAGAGGTGATGAGTGCTGTATTTATGTGCCAAGCCTATTGCAAATTGCTGCCTGTCAGTCTGTCCCAGCGCTTATCTGTTCAGTTACACCTGTGGCATAACTGTTCTGAAAAGAAAAAATAAACCAACCTTGGCTTTCCTAGTCTCCTTTTCTTCTCATCCAGAATTACTAGGCAAGGAGCAATGCTGGAGGAATAGCACAAAAGGCAGGTGGCAGTTTGCTAACAGTGGGATTCCAAAGTTGGGTTTGGCCATTAAAACAGGTGTGTGTGGGGGGGGGAAATGGACGCAAGTGAACTCTTGTGGGCAGGAACAGTCTTTTTGTTCTGTGTTTGTACAGGAACTAGCTGTACCCTATGACTAGGGATCCTGAGTACTACTGTATTTACAGGTATTAACAAAATTCATTAAACAGCATCAGATTTTTCCCCTTCAGTCATCTTTTTCTGCCATTAACATGGTCTAACTATTTCAACTGGTACCACCAGCCTATCTATACATACACCCCTGAGTCAGAGCCTGGGCTTAGCATGCAGTGTAGACACACAAAGATCTCATTGCATGCAGCCCAAGAACGGTGATTAAACAGCACAAAGATCTAACAGACAAACTGTTAAGCCGGAGACAACCTTTGTGAGCCTGCCCATACCTGCCTCTGGCTTCAGTCTCCCACAATCCCATGAGTCATTGTGCACTAACACTAATAATAATTATATCGCCTAATAATCTCACAGGCTAGTAAACACCAACGGGTTAGTATTGTGGTGTAAATCCATCATAACCCCAGTGACTTCAGAGGAAGCCCTGGCGTGTGTGAGTGGAGTTACTCTGGGGTTTTAGCTGTGGAAAGAGCAGACTCTCCCAGTATCATGTATCCTTCTATCCCTCTGCCATTCAGCTGACACTGGATGTTCCAGCCTGGAGTCTAAGCAGCTTTGCAAACTTACTACTAGCCTAGGCCCCATCTACTCAGCCATGGTGATTGGTGAGAGATTCCCCCCACATGAATGTACACATTACAATTTTGTACAACTTTTTAAAGAGGCTCATTGGAAAACTAACCCTGTTTATTATTTGAATTTTGGTAGAGCCCAGAGGCCTCAAATCTGGATCAAGGCCCAGCACCTAGGCACTGGGCAAACACACAGAAACCCTACCCCTGGAAGAGTTTACATTAGCCAAGTCTGTTTGTCAACTCATCCTTCAACCACATGCTGTTTCTCTATACCTCACTATTGGAGTCACTTGCATAGGAAGATTTTTGTCTTCTGGGCCCAATTCTGCAAGGGGCCTTGCAATCTCTCAGATGCTCAGCACCTTCCTCTCTCATTGAGACCATAGCGAGAACATGATGCTTGGCATACGCATTCTGAGGACTACAATCCATCCATGACGTTGGAAGGGGGTGGAGGATCAGCAGGAAAATTGCCATTTAAAATACCATAATTCATTTCAGTCTAGAAAATGGAGATCACCACCATGTCCCCTTACACAGCTATGTATTTTGTGTGAGGGAGCACATTGCGTTTACCTCTGCTCACCCCCTGACATTGCCACAACTGGAATCAGACAAAAGGAAGCACTCACTCAGCAAATAACTTCCGTAATGCCTGCATTGTGCAGGTCAGGCTACAGACAATGGTCCTGAATGGCATTAAATCTATGAATTACACCTACATACCGTGTCTTGCTGGGCGTGGAGCATGTACTGAATGGACGAGCGAGAATTGGTAAGGGGCCGGATGACAGGTAACTCCCTGCCAGAATGCACGTAGCTACATGTTCAATAATGCGACACTCAAAATGAGAAAGTCAGTAATAGTGCGCTGGGACACTTGTATTTTTGTGTCTGATTTTGTAAGCAAGTTTTTAAGTGAGGTGAAACTTGGGGTACAAGACAAATCAGACACTGAAGGGGGTAGAGTCGTCTGGAAGGGTTTAGAGCCACAAAGGGACGGAGGTGCCCAAGTCCCATATCTAGTTGCCACGGACGTTCACAAAACTGCTCCGCTCCCACCTTGCTCTGGAGAACGAGGATTCTGCCAGTGGGCATGTGCAAAGTCACCCAAGTCCTGACATGGCCTAACTGCTGGCCGCCTAAGCTCCAGCCGGATTCTCAAACTCAGCACTCCCCTATGTCTCTCGCCTGCAGAGCCCAACACAGTAGACATGCTCTGACCACACCTAACCCGCACTCACAACCAATCTGGCCTGTGTCCCTGTCCCCCCTGCCTAGTGTCAGGGCGCTCCCTGGGGATGGGGGAGACCCAGGTTTGAATCCCTGCTCTGCCAGATTTGGAGCAGGGACTTGAAACCAGGTCTCCCGCATCCCAGTTGAGTGCCCCAACCCCTGGGCTCCTGGCTGGAATAGGCTGTCTGAGCAGCTGACCTGGCTTAGGTGCCTAACACCAGAAGAGGCATCACGGTTGAGAATCCCAAGCAGAGGCAGGCGCCTCCGGAGTTAGGCACGTCTTATTGGCAAGCTTAGGCAGCTCCCCAGTCAGCTTGCTGGCTTCTGGGAATCCCTTCCCAAGGTGTCTAACTCTCCACGGCTTGGGGAGCCGGCGTGGCCGTCAGGGCTGGGAATTCCACTGGGTAGCAGGGCTCAGCATTCCAACCCACTGACGTCCCCTGTGTGAATCGAGCCTTAGCTGCTTTTGCTGCACTAAGAGATTCTGGGCTTCCGTGGCTCACATCTTCTACAGCCCCATTTCCTGAATGCAGCAAAAAGGGGGGTCAAACTAATTATTTAGGTTAGGGGAGCTGCATGAAAACAGGTGTCTAGTGGTTAGAAACACTGCTGTCTTGTGCACATAATGGACATCATACTAGATGGGTTAGAAAAAAACACTGGCAAAGATGGAGTGGAAGACTGGGGAAGAGGAAAACCACCTAGCAGCCAGGGTGGCTGGCTACATGCCAGCTTTGATCAAGCTAGCATGTTAAAAATAGCATTGTGAGGGCAGCAGCACAGCTGGCAGGAGGGGCTACTCATCAATGAAATTTTAATCTCGGATTCCAAACGCCCCAAAGCTACTTCTGCAAAAGGTGGTTAAAATTTCATCCTGAAAAACGTTCAGTCGCAGTCAGTCACACAAACACGTGGGCTGCATCCAAATATTAACAAGCCCTTCATCATCCCAGCCCAGTAAGGTGCCATTGTGGGTTGTAGCCCACGAAAGCTTATGCTCTAATAAATTTGTTAGTCTCTAAGGTGCCACAAGTACTCCTGTTCTTTTTGCGGATACAGACTAACACGGCTGCTACTCTGAAACCTGTCATTGTACAAGATGGCACCAAGGGCATTTCAGGCCACAAGGCAAGGAAACCAAAGCTTCAATAAAATATGAGTAAGGATCTTCTAGGCATTATTAAAAACTGATACCACCCGGCAGGGTTTTGGCCCCTTAACTCCAGGCCTCGCCATCAAACGCTGCAAACTCTGCAGGTCTATCTATAGAGATGAAAAATGTGTCTCAATCAAGTCTTCTTAACTTGACTGACACCCCCCCAGCCCCCTTCAGTACCCACGGACACAACTAACATTTGGTCTGGTCATTTTGTAACCAGGGTGGGAGAGTACAAGTGATCCCAACCAGCACAAATGATCTGAAAGCTGTTCAACTGGGTCGACACGACTACAAAGGGGAGGGCTAACTCAGCCGGGCCTTTATGCCCACGTAGGACAAGGCCCTTGTGTTTTCCTTTGGCAGTGGTCAGCACTGTGGAGGGAGCTCTAGCTTTGGATGACTGGAGCCACGTGTGGGTGATGACAACCGTTCACTCAGTTTCTATATGGACTGAGGATAGCAAAGACTCTCATGGCAGAAAAATAGAAAAGGCCTCCAAGTCACTTGAGACACGTGATCCCTGTACACATCACTGGGCTTTTGTTGTACATGACACGGGACACCCCATATGAGCATGGCCCTCAACCCATCAAGCCCTAAGGGTGCCGTAAGGGAGGAGAGAGAGGAGGAAGGTTTAACAGGATTCCCTGCTACAGACACTTGCAACGTTAGTTCAGCCTTTCCTGATGCCAACAGTTTAGAAATGACTGAGCGGCACTCTCTGCAGAATGGAGCTCTCCGAGTGAAAGGAAACACGGAGCAGCTGCTAAGACGGACCAGCAAGATACCTCAGAGGAGACCTGGATTGGGTTTCTCCCACTTAGTTGCACTGGACACTTAAATCCACAAGCAGAAAAATTTGGAGGTGTCTGGCTTGGGGCCATAATGGACTGGATTCTCTACAGCAAGCACCAGAGGTGTACATTTTCCATCCCTCCGTGGGCAAGGGCCTTGATGCCCCCAACGCGATGGAGTTCCCACTGGTGGGGGGCGGGGATATAATCACTGCATAGGACCTAGATTAGCACCTCCTTGTGCTTCCTTTCCAGTCCGCAGCCACCCACCTTTGGAGCTTTGCTAGCCACCCCCTACCCCCCATCATTTTACTAGGTAGTAAGGGGAGCCTGGCACCAGCTTTCTGCATGGCAGATTTATCGCCAGGGAGTCTGGCCCCATAATTTAAATACATCCCAATAGGCTCTGTTTCAGTGGCAAGGGAAGGCATGGAGATCTGTCAGCGTTGCTCCACAGTGCATCCTCCCAGAGATGCTCTCTTTTCCAAGTGCCCCCCCCCCCCCCCCGCACACACACCCCAGCTCTATACCTCTGGCACCAGGTGCATTTAAAGCTGCTTCCACAGTGCCCCACTTTCCCTTTAGACAGCGATGTTTCTTTAACAAAATAGTCCATTCCCGCCCAGCAATAACATGTAGCTTGGCAATTGTGCTGATTTATTGCACATTAGAACAGGCCATGCCTTGGGCAGGTCTGAGCTTTGTACCTCGTTTTGGAGAAATAAGTATGTTTTACTTGCCCTATTACAAAACAAAACCTTCTTTGTGACAGCCCCTCCTCAGCTGGTGCCCACCTTTCAGGACAATGGAAACCCAGGCAGAAAAGGGGACACATGAGGATTTTAGAAATGACTGAGAATCTGGCAAGCCATTTAAACAAGGGTGATACTTGGAGACCGGGAACTCCTATCCACCAGGTAGCGCTGTTGAATCATATTTGTTCAGTTGAAACAGGATTTCTCCTGCAGCAAGAGATTGAGCGTCTAGGCCAAAAGATCCTC